AAAGAAAGAAAGAAAGAAAGAAAGAAAGAAAGAAAGAAAGAAAGAAAAAGAATTAAAAGATGCCTGTGTTTTCCTCATGCAGTGTCTGGTTCATCATTTGCCCTTGTAAGTTGTCTAGTATCAGGGACTTACAGAGCCACACTCACAGTTCAGATGTGTCCTGAACTGTTCTTACCAGAGGGTGGTGGTGGGGGGGGGGACACTACGAGCCTTGTGCCTCAACAAGTGACACCTCCACACTTGCTTCCCCATCACTGTAAGAAGGATTCAGCCTGAGTAGCGCACCGCACCCCATAGACAGTCCCTAAACTCTGGAAACCAGAGATCTTTTACTCCTCGTATTCATAGCCAACTCCAGTTATTTAAAGTTTCCTTGTGTCCCCTAAGCAAAGCACACATGCAGAGGGTCACATTACCTCACATTCCCCACTGGACCACTCCACTGACGCCCAACACACAACCAAAGAGTCAAAGAGAAAACCCCTTCTCTTGTATTTTAGAAGGTTATTTCATGGTGTTGAATGTGTCCACATACAGAAACTGTCCAGGTACTTGCTACTTTTTTTTTTTCTTCAAGTAACAGGAAAACTGCCCCCTTCTTTTCAAAGAGCTAGCTAACAATGTTTCCAAAGTAGAAGGAAAAATCACGGGGGTCCATTAGTGACTTACATACAGAATATGGCTTGGGAAACTGTATTTGTAAGTAAACAAGTCATTGTTTATTATGTATTTTTAACTCAAAAGGGAAAAAAAGGAGCTGTATTACCTTGTTAACACCCTAGAAGAGAGGGTAGCTCATTTGCCTTTGCTCCCCTTAAGTCTGGCTGCGTCCAGTCAGTTGTGAGGTTCCCAATTTCGTTTTGCCTGGATGACCTGGGGAGCGCCACATCTCAGGTTTCCCGTTTGCAAAATTTTGAGGACTGCAGGGGGCTGTTTCTCTGGGAATATTACCAGAGCCTTTGTGTGTGTGTGTGTGTGTGTGTGTGTGTGTGTGTGTGTGTTGAGGGTTTCGCATTTTTTACCACGGTTTTATCTAAAGCTAAGCTCCTCCACATTTTGTGAGTTTTGAAGCAGAGTCAGCATGCATCTTTCCTGGTGGGACATTGGGTACACACAAGCCGATTCTGTCAGCGCACATAAGACATTGGGTAAGGTAGGCCTAAGGATCCCCAGTGTCCGAGCTGAGACCCGGCGCTTTAGGTGATCTGGCAACAGCCCTGGCCACTAAGAGAAGCCAAGAAAAGCCAAGGCCTGTCCAAGCCTTCAGGGCTATTCAAGAACTCCACGCTGGGAAAGGCCTGTCAGGGCCCAAAACTTCCACAAAGCACACAGCCCTGATGCCCCACTGCGTCACAGTCCCAGCAGCCAAGACTCTCACACACTCCCAAACAACAAGGCCTGCCTGCACAAGGTCAGTCTGCTCTGACTGCTTCACCCTCCACTTTTGGAATGTTTCAAAAGAAGTCGTTCGGAACCCTCTTCTGAAGCAACGCATCAGCATCACCCTTCACGGGCCGCATCCTTTGGGAGAGGCGCGAAGTTGCCCCTTGAATACAATAAACCTCAGACTCTAGTCCGAGGCCTGGACCACGATCTTTGAAGACCCATGGGGTCAAGAGTCTTTACTTTGTCCGGAGCCCCGGACTCCTGGGCTCCAGAGAAGCCAGGAGGAAAATTTCTGGGAAAGTCCTGGTCAGCAAGGCCCTAAACTCAACTCTCTGTCAGCGAGCAGGAGGCAGACTCAGGACCCCAGAACAGAAAATCTAAGAACAACTGGCGTTTCTCTTTTACTCCCCACCTGCCTGACAGAAAGTGACAGACCAGACCTCCAAACTTAGGCCGTCAGAGCCTTCAACAATTCCTCCAGCCTTTCAAGGAAACTTCCACAACTTTTCCTGCCTGCACTCTCTTTTTTCTCAGACTTCCTCTAGCCAACGGTGGGCATGTGGATTACTTTCTCAACTGTCACAGTCTCCAAGGTGTCCAAGGCCTGAGGATCCCCACAATAACAATAGTAGTACTGAGTTGGGGGAAGAACTCGAGAAAAGAGTAGAAACGTTGAAGAAAAGGGACATTTCAAGAGGTTTCACTTGACAATTATCAGTAACCTCGACAGACAACTCCATTTAAAAAGAAGAAGAAAATTTACTACTGTTCTTGAAAGCCGTTATTTTTTTACGCCGCTTTTAGGAAGATAGATGAACAAAACATCACGTTCCAAGCCATTTTGATCTGTAATTAAATGGCAGGATCGGTTTGTATTCTCCTACGGCTTTTACAGAAGTTGCAGTGATCCAAAGTCGGGTTGCTGTGTCAGAGTGGCATTTTTATTAATGAGAATACAAAAAGCTTGCATATTCTTAGCCCAGCTTGAATTTAGTTGCTAAGCAACCGGTGTATGGTAATTCATCCGCGAAATTTAAATCTTTGAGAAAGGATCCTGCGTTTTGCTGAATGGTCTCCACGAGGAAAACAACTTGTGGGACCCGCAGCAGCTGCCACCATTCGACTACTGGGGCCTTGCTGGGCCGAGCCTCCACCGGCTGCCCCCGCGGCCGCTGCCACCACCCCACCTCGGCTCCCAGCACGGCCCTCCCTCAGGGAGGGAAGCACTTTTGGCTGCCAACTGCCTAGAACCCTCCCTCTCGCCTCCGGTGCTCACTGGTTTTCACCTGAGGCCAACCTTCACCTGACAAAGTCGCCAGTGTCCCTAGGGTTTCCCAGTTCAGACCTGACTGAATTTTCCCATTTCTTCCCTTTGTGCGCATACACACACACACACACACACACACACACCACACAGGAGTGGCCAGGAGAATGCCTGTTGCCCTCTTCCCAGACCCCTCTGAGGTCACTGCCAGAGCCCCACTCTTCCTCGAGGAAAAGCGGGCTCATCAAGAAAGCAGCCCACAGCCCACCAGAAGGCCAGGCCGCCGCCACTGGCCGGCAGTGACATCATAGGCTCCTGCTCGCCAAGTTCGCGCCCACATTTTAGGATACAGGAACAAACACGGATGTGAAATCAAGAATGAAAGAGAGAGTAATCTAATTAATAGGCCATGAGCCAGGCTAACAAAATCAAAGAATCTGATTACACAAGTACCCCTCTTGCTATCTCCGCCTTCCCCCACCCCCTGCTCTTCCAGACTCCTCTCTATTTCCTTCCCTAGGCTGGAAAGTTCAGGAGGTAAACACAGAGCCCTCTGATTTCCTTATTGAAATCAAGATCAAGCCTATCCTGGGGCTCCAGCAGCCAGGAGGTCACATGGGCGACCTTCAGGCCCTGGGACTAGGAACCCCGAGGAATTGAAATGGCCAGCCAAGCAAAGCAAAGAGCTCTGGCTGGTCCAGCGAAGCAAGGGGCCCCCCAACTCTCTCACGCACCACTGCTAACAACAACACCTGCACTGATTACTTCTGTCTGTAGCGGGACCGGAGGAGGGGGGGCTTGACCCTCGGTCGTTTTAAAAGGGTCTAAACATTTTGGTTGTTGTTGTTAAGCCTGGCATTACCCTTTTCAGTCCGTCACCTGCTCTGGATCGCTGAAAGACTCGAACTCTCAGCTGCCTTTCTCCTTCCCACAACACAGAAGTCAAGCACAGCCAGGTGTTCGGGTTTGTCACCGAAACACAGCATCTGATCGGTACAGCCAACCTCGTGCACTTCGGGAAAGAACAAAGTTCTTTAATAGCTTCCCATTTTAAAAGGGTGGAAAAAAAGCAGGCCCGCATCCTAAATATCTAATTTCAAGCCTATATGTACTGCCAATACCTGTTGCATTTATTTTAGAGTTGATTAATTACCCTGGAACTTGGTCAAACTAAACTCCATGTGGAAAGAATGTTTCTTCCTTCAATTTAGTTCTGAAAGCTACAAGTTATTGATGGCTCTTACTCTATTTACATACAAATTGGTGCAAATGTGCCCATCTCTTTAAATGCATTTTGTATAGATATATAAAAGTGTCATTTTTGATTTAGCTTGAAGACGTTGATCATTTATTACAAAAATAAACGAATAAATACAACAATATATTGTTGCTTCCAACAGGATAAATACTTTACAAATATATAATTTAAAAAGCAAATTTAATTGTTAAAATTATTTAAAATATTACACTCATTGATAAAACTATGAAGAGTATATACTGCATTTGATATAAGAACCAATTATTCTCTGAATGTTGAAAACCATTCATACAAAACAGATCATGAGCAAACACCGGAGGCCACGGGGAAGCAGAGGGAATCTCTAAGAGCAATAATGGACAATTCTATTGAGAGAGAGAGAGAGAGAGAGAGAGAGAGAGAGAGAGAGAGAGAGAG